TCTGGGGAGGGGTTCTGGGGAGGGTTTTTATGGAGGGGTTTCTGTGGAGGGGTACTGGGGAGGGGTACTGGTGAGGGGTTCTGGGGAGGGGTATTGGGGAGGAGTTCTGGGGAGGGGTTCAGGGGAGGGATTCTGCGGAGGGGTACTGGGGAGGGAATCTGTGGAGGGGTTCTGGGGACGGGCTTCCCTCCCCAGATAATTTATTTGTTTCTGATTTTGGTATTGAAAGTGGGGGAGGGTCTAAACTGAAGCAGAAAACTATGGTAAAAAAACAAACCAAATTTTACATGCAAAAATAGCGAATTTCAAACTTAGCGCCGCCGGACACCGGACACATCCAAGCACATCAAAGAAGACGACAAGTGACGTAACGTTTAAGCAATCCTTTCTATCTACGCATCATTTTAAAGTACCCTTTAAGAAAATTAATTTCTCTATTTTTTTTTTTTAAATATTTCCAAAATTGTAACATTTCCAAACACTGAGCATTTTCAAAAAACATAAAATTTAATTTTTCTTTTAATCTTCGTTAATGATTCACAAGAAATCTTGTTCCAACCGGTTATTAAAATATTGATCCAATGAAAATTAACACTAAAATACACAAAGGGGAATGACTCCTGCACAAAAATTAAATAAACACACAAAGGACGTTATGGGATGAAGAAGAATGATCCGCCCACTTGACTTCATGACTGATTTGGTGGGCGGAAGGGGGATTTTACAGCTTTTAACATTTGTAATGATAACGTGGCCAAACAAAAAAATATTGCTAAAAAATAAGAAAAATTGATAACATAGTTCAAAGACAATGCACTTCTACAAAATTCGAAGAAAAATCTAGAAAAGGGGTTCTTAACCAGAAATTGCACAGCCCCTACTGGTGCAAGAGGCAAGCCAGGTACTGGAATACCCAGGAGTAAGTCCCATGTACGGGAAAACCCAGGAAGCCATGCCAGGAACGGGAAAACACAGGAGGCCATGCCAGGAACGGGAAAACACAGGAGGCGATGCCAGGAACGGGAAAACACAGGAGGCGATGCCAGGAACGGGAAAACACAGGAGGCGATGCCAGGAACGGGAAAACACAGGAGGCGATGCCAGGAACGGGAAAACACAGGAGGCGATGCCAGGAACGGGAAAACACAGGAGGCGATGCCAGGAACGGGAAAACACAGGAGGCGATGCCAGGAACGGGAAAACACAGGAGGCGATGCCAGGAACGGGAAAACACAGGAGGCGATGCCAGGAACGGGAAAACACAGGAGGCGATGCCAGGAACGGGAAAACANGTGGGGATTGGTGAGTTTGGTGGGAATTGGTGAGGTTGGTGGGGTTGGTGAGATTGTTGGGGTTGGTGGGGTTGGTGGGGATTGGTGAGGTTGGTGGGGTTGGTTGGGATAGGTGAGGTTGGTGGGGATTGGTGAGGTTGATGGGGTTGGTGAGGTTGGTCGGGTTTTGAGGTTGGTGGGGTTGGTGGGGATTGGTGAGCTTGTTGGGGATTGGTGAGGTTGGTGGGAATTGGTGAGGTTCTTGAGGTTGGTGGATTGGTTGGATTGGTGGGGATTGGGAAATGTTTTGAAATTGAAAGTTGAGCGAGGCTGCCAATAGGTTACGAACCATTGTCTTAGGGCATTACTTTTATTTATTTATTTTTTCCTTAGAAATTTTGTCATTTTAAACTTTCGAATGCTTCCAACAAACAATAATTTAATGCAGACATTTTTATTCGGATTGCATCCGGAACTTACAAGTTTTCTGCTCCCTCGTCTTTGACGTAGTTCTCAATCTCTCACAGACACCCTCTCGTTGCACATTCACAATGCTGCTCGTCACCTCGGCTTTTCTGCTTGTGTTCACACCCCGCGCCGCCGAAGGTCAAGACTTCGAGTGCACGCGGGCCAAGAATTCTGAATGCTACAGGCACATGCCCCGTGTCAGCTACGACCAGCGATGCAAGAATGACTCCGTCATGTCCGCCATGGTCGTGGTCAACCTCTTGGTGCACAGGGGGCCGTTCGTCCTGTACATGTGCGGGCGTGTGGGTCGACAGGAACATTGTACGAAAAGTGGTGAGTTGTTTCAATTTCAAAGGGATGTAAGCGTCTAGTGGGTCACTTATCATTTTCCCGGGACCCTTGGTTTATTTATAAAAGCTGTGTTGTTTTTTCAACGCGGAATAAAGCTGAGATGCCATGGTCTCCGATAATTAAATGCTCATAAATTGTTGGTCAACATTTCACATTTTAGCATTCTACTTACCTGCTTTATATATCGTATTGGAGATTCAAATAAGAAATATTTGGAATGAATAAGTAATCTATTTTTTTGCTTCAAAGTGGCTTTTGAATATTTTTCCACCCGCCTTTTACGCTTTAAAAAAATTCAAATGTCAGAAATAATACAAATGTCAGACATCAGACAAATTTCAGAAATTTGAGAAAAGTCTGAAGTAAGACAAATGTCAGAAATAATACAAATATCAGACATCAGACAAATTTCAGAAATTTGAGAAAAGTCTGAAGTAAGACAAATGTCAGAAATAATACAAATGTCAGACATCAGACAAATTTCAGAAATTTGAGAAAAGTCTGAAGTAAGACAAATGTCAGAAATACGACAAAGAGAAGGGTGGGCCAAGTGTTTGAGCAAAAAATATATAGGCCTATAAATTAGTCCATAGATTCCATAAAATATTTTTGCAAAGTTTATGAACGTCACCTGTCTTCTTATGTATGTGATAGTTTTCATGTCCATTACCAACTACCCGCTGATCCACAGACTACCTGAATCGGTACGGGGAACACTTTAGGTTCCACTGTCCCCAGGGCGGCGTCATCACCGCCGTGGAGTATCAGTACAGCGAAGCCGACGAAGACGGGCTATTCAGGATCACGTGCTGTAAGGTCAAGGGCAAGCTAGTCACCAACTGCAACCCGTGGAAGGAGTCCGGCGGATTCAAGCAGTACGTCAGGGTGTCCCACATGGACGACGCGGCCTACCACCCGATCCCGGCAGTCACGGGGGTGCTGTCCAAACCGTCGACCAGAGAGGGCGCGGATTACCATTACAAGACTCGGGAGTTCATCGTTTTGATATGTAACCTGGAGTAAGAGACTCCGCCCCCCGAGGGTGGATACTTTCCGACAAGGTTCAGCCCAAAGTGGGGCTGTCACGGCGAATAACTCACATACAAATGTTTTTAAAGGCGTTAAATATTGCATTAAGATAAAAAAAATTATATTAATGTCCTTTTTTTCTTCTTCGTTTTTTTTTGTTGTTGTTGTTGTTGTTGTTGTTGTTGTTGTGATATTTAAAGGTATGGAAATAGAAATGTTTCCCCGTTTGCTAAAATATTTAACATTTATATTTTAAAAGACACCAAATGAAAAGAAAGCCTAATAATTTGACATTTAAATCTCAAAGGATGAAAAGTGGGGGGGGGGGGG